TCTGGTTTTGCGCCATAATCACTCACTCACTCACAATTGTATGTGATTTTTGATTAGTTGCATATATTTTTTTAATACAATTTATTTGTAATATTTCGCCCTGTTACCATTGAGAAACTTTTTTTTACGGAGCTAAAATATCTTTCCCTGGGTGTATTTAAATGTTTATTTTTATGTAGTTTGAAATGCAGCATTTAATTATGAAGTGTAATTTTCATTTCATACTGCATATAATTAAGCCTGATGTAAGATGTTTGAAAGATTGTCTATTTATTATGATAATGATATGGTTGTTTAATTGCTTATGGTAAAGCTAGAATGCATAACATAAGTGGGATGTCTTAGTGGTAAACTTTTCAAGGAGTAATTGCTGATTTTTATGTATATATAGGGAAAACTCCATACAACCAGCTTTTTTGCAGGAGCTAAACTAAGTATGAACAATTAAAATTCAGCTGTTTTTTTTTTTTTTTTCCAATTCACACAGTGGTGAATATTAGCAATATGGATAATTTACCTTAGATATGACATGTGCATTTAATTTGTATGTATATAACTATTTATTTAAACTTGCTGATTTTTAATTTTCTTTACTTATTTTGGATGGTTCAGTAAACATGGGTTTATATAACTTTTTCACCGATCCAGCTTCACTTCAGTTTCATAAATGATGAAACTTTAAAATGGGCTAATGTTGAAATGCAGTATTTTATTTTTTTAGCACTGTGTGCAGTAGTTTGAAACGCCAAAGAAATATCTGTGATATGGAATCCAACTATACATCTAGACCCTCTCGATTAGAGAAGCAAGAAGAGTTTGAAGTCGAAGAGGAAGGTTTTATGCTATCTCCTGTCACCATACAAATAGAAGATAGAGGTAATAACCAAGGAGAGGAATATCAAGATGCAAAAGCGAAAGACAGCTTGTATGCTTTTGATTTGTATGAACAGAGCAGTCAGGGAGGGAAAACAAGTAATCCAGACCTTTCTCCTGATTCTATGGATAGGTTATCAGACTCCAAGCCTGAAAGAAGAAAAGTAAGCTCCTTTATTTTTTCTCCTTTTCCTGGATTCAGTTTGCTTTATGTAAAATGATATCAGTTTTCATTCAATCCTGATAACATTTTGATCATAAATTTAAAGAAAACACAGTTGAACCCCACTATAACAAACTTCAAACAACCAGTAGTTTGATTCATTATAACTGGTGCTTTACTATATCCGATAATGTAAGAATGATGGATTATATCACAAAAATTTGTAAAACTTGAATGTTGAATTCCCAATAATAATGGTGATAATTGATTAACATTCTCACATCTACCGAAAGAAGCGAATAATAAATCTAATTTAAAGGAAACTTATATTGATATGTAATTACAATTATTATGCTAGTTGTTCTTTTTTAATTTCATTATACTTTAGTACTTTTGCATGATAAATTACTTAATATAAATATTATTGTTTTGATCCTTCTAATTACTCATTTGCTACTTTTCCATTTTGCCGGTGCAAGCGATAAAGTCGCCAAAAATAATACGATGCCAAACAGAATATCCTGGTAACCTTTTACGCCTCATTTTCAAAACAAGTCGCATCCATTTCTTATCAGATTGACTGTTTCTTTCAATACTGATGTACAGTTACTTAGAAATTTTACCAGGTAATTCAGTTTTATGCTCTAAGGCCATTTGCAGTAATAAAGTCTATTAGGATGCAATCACACCGCTCACCCATAGGTGAAAATATAGAAAAAGCAAAGTCAAGGGTTGAATTCAAGGTTATTTAATATTAAAGGTTAGGCCAGGAACGGAAAAAGCGTGCCATTGGTTGCTGGTAGTGATGTCACCCGGTTGACAAGACACATGGGTTGGCGCGTCTGCTACATGATTTTGGTAATGGAAAAAATGTAAACTAAAGCAAAATGATCATTTTATATGTGTAGTTATATTAATACCGGATACCGGTATATTATTTCTGATAAGCAAATGTTTATTTTATACACAGAATTCTTACGAAATGGTGAAAATAATTGTAAACATTAATCCTTTATAGTGGACAGTGGAAAAAGTTTAATTTAAGTTTTTGTGTTTTCATAAAAAATTTTTTTTATTGTATACGTATTATAAGATCAGTATAAAAATATGTAAAAAAGTTTAATTTATTTAAATTAAAAATTTTTAAAACAAATTTATTTAATAAAAAAATTTAAAATCCTCTTGCGCACTAGTTTTCTTTATTCTTTCCTAATTTTTCCTTTACGTTTGTCATAAAGACTTGACAAAGGTTTTTTGTGTATCCGTTATTGAATATGATAGATCAGAACTTTTTAAAAAGGATTTTTGTGACTTAAACCCAGTTTTCGGAAAAATATCTCCTTTTGTTAAACATTATCACAAGTTTTAAACTTCTTAATAACCTCATATCCAAAAATGCACACACAGTTCTACTGTAACATACAACAAGATAGTGTTTTCCAAATATATTTCATTTTGAACTGAAAATGAGTCGCATGGAGATTTACGAGACATGCGACTGAAAAATTTGTTTTGTGAAAACCGAATTTAAAGTTTCTCTTCAAACTTACTTTTAATACATGGTCATGAGGAACAGCAAATTAACTTTAAGTATGAATTTGTAAACACTAGATAACATTTTCGTATCCTTTAACAATTTTTAATCTCATAATATTAATATGAGAAAAATAAACATATGGCAAATTCGCTCGTGATTCGAAGTTTGAGGATTGGATTGGATTATTTAATTAGCACACGAGGGCTATCTGCCTAAAGGGAGGGATGCCTTCGTGGAGGACTTTCTAAGCGAAATTTGAGGTAGAAACAATTTATGCATTATATCCAATGAAACTTTTAAAATTCACTCGCATCATATGTTTCACCTTCATTTGTTAGATTTACATTATATTTTAATGTTTTACAATATTTTTAACTATTTCTGTTTTTTTTTCCAAGCAGGTAAACTTCTCTTTTTGCTTTGGTTCAAGCGACATTGATCACGCTTTTTTGCAATGAGTAGAGAAAACGAGATTGTTTCCTCCTGTTCTAGGCGTATAATATTCACATAATTAAAGTTAAATTCAATACTGACATTTTAGCCTTTTTTTCAGAAATAAACACTTCTTTTGGGCAAATATATAAATTATTACATCAGTAATTAACTGTTGAAATACATTTCTTTAGATTTTTCTCCAGAATTTAAAGGGCAAAGTTTATGTTTTTTACACATTTTAAATGCTTGTAACTTATTTAAAAATTAGAATATTTTAACTCGTTTTTTTGCATATGATGTAGTTATATAAATGAAATATTATGAGAGTAAAAAACAAATTCAATATTTCGGTTGATTTTTAGCTATTTTAAAGTCTACCATCCCCTCAAAGGAAAGGCTTAGAAAATGAGAAACGATATGTAGTTAATTAAGGGAAATAAATGTTGTAAAGCAAGGTATTTTTCAATATTTTTGTGTTGTATTGTCTGCATTAAATAAATCTTGTTGAATAGAACACATGAAGACATAACTCTAAAACCATGGTAATAACATGATCAAAAAGTATTTTCCTATTTATTTTCATTCCTCATGCATTTTTTTTAATACAAATGAACTTTGACATTCCATCAGAAATATATGATCGTGATTTTCAGTTTAAATTACATAACTCAAGCAAAAATATATATAAAAAGATTTAAATCAACAAATTCATATTTAATTACCCTAAAATTCTACAAATTTCTTAATATCACATACTTTTAAATGGACTTATCACATTCTTTTAAAATTACCATCATCAATAAATCATTTTTACTTACACTGATTCACTTCACATTTCAGCAGAAGTGCATATATTTTCAGTATTATCTAAATGGACTCTTGTAATCCCTTAGACTAATAACATTCCTATATAACATTTATCCTGGCGTGTTTATTTGCTATAGCAAATAATCTTCGATTTTCACGCCCTATTCTTCCCTCAATACATTAAAAATGGAATAATTAAAATACATTTCTTACACATAAATGTACAATAATAAAACTAATAAACTTGCCCTACATCTTAATTTCAATTCAGCCTGTATTCAAATTAAATATTTTTAATTACTAATGTATTTATATCAGGTTGTTTCTTAAAATTTTGTTATACTCGAAATAGTGTTCAGTATTTAATGTCTTTCTCTTATAATTAAAAACAAATTATATTGAATCAAAATTAAAACATATGCAGCAGTTAACACTGAAGAGAATATCTTACTTAATCTTTCGCTATTTGTATTCCAGCACAGTATTGTTTTCCTTCAGGGTCAAGCATGTGTAAGTTCACTTAGTTATATCAATTACATTACATCAGACATATGCATCAGTTAAATAACACTAAAGGAAGTATGGCACTCACTCATTCGATGTTTGCATCATAGTGTGGCCGAGAAATTGTTCTTTCCTCACGGTAAAGCATGTATCAGTTTACTTAGTTCACAATGCTTAACCCAGACATTGCTTCAATACATAGAATTATGTTTGAGACGCAAAGAAAGTAGCCAAAACATGTGAATGAAGTTGCATAAGCGAATTTATCAACTAATCATTCAGGTACTCAGTATTGGTAAACATGACACTGAGTTTAAATATCTCGCTATGATGTAAGTCTCATCCACAAAATGATAAAAAGTGATTTAAAATGAAAAATTTTTCAATTTTAAATGTAAAATAGCAGAAAATGTAAAATTACATCACAGTTATGTAGGAAAACTACATAAATTCATTAAAAAATAGTCAGTTATTTTATGTGGTTGGAAAGAGTGTTTTCCGCCTAAAAAACGTATTGGCGAGTATAATTCTGAACACAACGCTGTAGCACAATTTGCCACTTCTGACTAGGTATAATAGCAAATTAACAACACAAATCAAATCAAACTGTTGATGCAACGAAAGTAAACAAATGCCAAAAACTAACGACTGTCACCCACATGACGTCATGCGCATGTCGCATAATTTTCTCCCTGCACTACGCATCGCTCTTGGGCCACCCCTGGGTTAAATTCATCAATTCTAATGAGAATGCACTAGCAAAGTAAAGCACTACAGTTTTACATGATTTCTGAATAAGCTATTCATACGAATTGAAATGATTCTTGCATTTAAACTTGTATTTCAAATTAAGCTGCAACTTGAAATTAATGTAGATAATAACTGAGAGAATTAGATTTTTGTAGCGTAGTTTACTTGAGATAAGATCACTTGGGTTCACGTGTTATGAAACGGCAAATCAGGATGTTATACCGTGAAAGCATAGTAAAATTATCTTTTTACAAAATTTATAATGATATTAAAATGTTCATGCCTTCAAAATCAAAATTTCTTAGAACTAGCATTTGTTGACATTTTTTATGTGTATGCTGTGTGTTGTCGCCAATAAAGTCTGCTTGGCAAGATTTGCATCGGCAAAATGGAAAAGTACCACCCATTTATAACTGTGAATAGTTATTTTATTCATAACAATATTAAAACACTAAAAATGAACAATAAAAAATATTGACAAATTTACTTTTACTTAACTTCGGAGAACAAAAAAAAAAAATTATTTTTTCTGCTGGCATAATGCAGATTGCATGGAAATTTTATCCATAGTTCCAAAGCAAGGACTGAGTAACCTTTATAAGGAATATCCTATATCTTTCAAAACCTTTATTCGAAGGACATAACTTGAAGAGCATTTATACTTAAACAAAACAAAAACTGATAAGCATCAAAATTTCATTCCCTAGTTAACAAAACTGTATAGCCCCAAGCTCTTCTCCTGAATAGTGGAAATTTAAAAATTTCCATCATAACATTAGCCTTGAATAGGTCTCTGTCTGATAGCTTGGTGAAAAGTTTGAATGGAATCTTAGACCATCCATGTTTGTTGGTTCATTGATCACTAACACTATATGGTATCCAAAGATATGCTTATTGTGCCCTTGTTCTCCTTGCTTATTGTGTCCTAGAATCACCCCTTTTTTACAGAGCTTTTGCTTAAAGCCCAG